GAAAATCCCGACATTAAAATTGTAAATGCGTCGGATTTCGCAATGGCAGTTGCCGACTGCTCTTCTGTATCAGCATCAATATTAAATTCTAAATAAGCTCCGAGGTACGACACCACTTCCCCCACCGTACATGCGCCATCACACTGGGTCAGTTCCACTTTCGATTTACCGACCGACACAACGGCCCTGTTACCACACTCGACGGGCGCAGATTTGTCAATTGTTCCTTCGGCTAATTCATGAAAGACTTGCATTAATGTTTTAGTATCGGCTACTGAACACCCATACTAAATCTTTAAGAACGGCAAGTTGCCGTTTCAGCTTTAGAATTACAAAAATCATACTTGCAGACGACGAGTTTTCTACAACCGGAAATTGATAATATAAAACTAATTTTTGAAGCGGAAAACGGGGAAAAAAATCCGGATTTCGTATTATCGGTTTTTTTTTGGAAAATAAAAAAAATTGGGGCGGGGCCTCAAAGAGGGGGCGGGCGGGGATGAGAATCTAGCAAATAATTTATTATGGCCTAAATAAAAGGCATTCAATGAAGTTGAATTACCTCTTCTTCACAATCATATATAATTAATGTTGGTAGGGTTTTCCATTCCCCATAGATCATGTCTACTATATCCATGGTTGAGTGAAAAATGAAAAGTAATTCATCATGGTTAGCTTATATACTGGTATTATTGCTTCAAATTGCTTAAGGTTACCTTAAATACTGGTGTATAAATGGCTTTAAATTCTTCAAAGTTAGCTCAATATCCCCATTCTCCCACCCAGTACTCGGGTGGTTAATTGGCTTCAAATTCTTCAAGTTTAGCTAAAATACTAGTACATGTATTATGGTTTCAGCTCAAATTTTCCAAAAATGTTTTTCTTATTTATTTTTTTCCGGTCAGTTCGATTTTTAAAAAAATAACTTTTCATGATACTATTTTTGTTGCAGTATTGTATTATCACTTTTTGTTGAAAAATTCAAATACTAATCGAACAATGTAGGCAAAATTAAAGTTCCAAGGCATTATTGGAGCTTAATCTATAGCTACATGTATCTAGGATATTTTTCTTATCTGAATATACGTTTTAATTTTTATTGATGATTCGCTTCAAGCTCCTCTGTCATCATTTACCATGTCAAAGTCATAGTAATTCTATCTGGTGGCATTTTTAATTGACAATTTAGTGGCCCCCTTATCTTAGGTGGACACTAGGTAGTCTGTCACTGTCATCAATAACACTAGTTATTGTCTGGCCCTAATGTCAGTGGACACTGCTGTCATATGACAATAACTGTTGTAAGACCTTATTGTCAGTGCGCACCAACGTCATATGACAATAACTGTTGTGAGACCCTATGTTCAGTGGACACAGACATCATGTGACAATAACTGTAGTGTGGCCCGCCCCATCATCTGAGTGGACACAGATGTTATATGACATTAAATGTTGTGTGGCCCCATCATCAGTGGTCACTAATGTCATATGACAATAATTGTTGTGAGACCCTATGTTCAGTGAACACAGACGTCATGTGACAATAACTGTTGTGTGGCCCGCCCCATCATCAGTGGACACAGATGTCATATGACCTATCTGTTGTGTGGCCCCATCATCAGTGGTCACTAATGTCATATGACATTAACGGTTGTGTGGCCCCATCATCAGTGAAGACAGATGTCATATGACAATAATTGTTGTGTGGCCCCATCATCAGTAAACTCATTTGTGATATGATCTTAGCTGTTGTGTTTGACACCATCATTACTGGAAAATGCTGCAAGACTTGAGCTGCATGTTGCATAGCCCCACTATCAGTAGACGACGTCATCGTTGTTGTCATCATGCGTCGGTCCTATATAGCTGTTGTGTAGCCCCAATATTAGTAGACGCCGTCATCGTTGTCGTCATCATGCATCAGTCCTATATAGCTGTTGTGTAGCCCCAATATCAGTAGACAACGTCATCGTTGTCGTCATCATGCGTCAGTCCTATCTAGCTGTTGTGTAGCCCCACTATCAGTAGACGCCGTCATCGTTGTCGTCATCATGCGTCAGTTCTATATAGCTGCTGTGTAGCCCCACTATCAGTAGACGACCTCATCGTTGTCGTCATCATGCGTCAGTCCAATATAGCTGTTGTGTAGCCCCACTATCAGGAGACGACGTCATCGTTGTCGTCATCATGCATCAGTCCTATATAGCTGTTGTGTAGCCCCCCTATCAGTAGACGACGTCATCGTTGTTGACATCATGCGTCAGTCCTAATATAGCTGCTGTATGGCAGCATGATCGGTAGACAATGTCATCATCAATCCAGATACGGCTCGCAACCTTAATTGAGTGAAGACAGATGTCATATGACAATAATTGTTGTGAGGCCCCATCATCAGTAAACTCATTTGTGATATGATCTTAGCTGTTGTGTTTGACACCATCATTACTGGAAAATGCTGCAAGCCTTGAGCTGCATGTTGCATAGCCCCACTATCAGTAGACGACTTCATCGTTGTTGTCATCATGCGTCAGTCCTAATATAGCTTCTGTATGGCAGCATGATCAGTAGACAATGTCATCATCAATCCAGATACGGCTCGCAACCTTAAATTGATTAGTGGTCACTAATGTCATATGACAATAATTGTTGTGAGGCCCCATCATCAGTAAACTCATTTGTGATATGATCTTAGCTGTTGTGTTTGACACCGTCATTACTGGAAAATGCTGCAAGACTTGAGCTGCAGGTTGCATAGCCCCACTATCAGTAGACGACGTCATCATGTGACAATAACTGTAGTGTGGCCCGCCCCATCATCTGAGTGGACACAGATGTTATATGACATTAAATGTTGTGTGGCCCCATCATCAGTGGTCACTAATGTCATATGACATTAACGGTTGTGTGGCCCCATCATCAGTGAACACAGATGTCATATGACAATAATTGTTGTGTGGCCCCATCATCAGTAAACTCATTTGTGATATGATCTTAGCTGTTGTGTTTGACACCATCATTACTGGAAAATGCTGCAAGACTTGAGCTGCAGGTTGCATAGCCCCACTATCAGTAGACGACGTCATCGTTGTTGTCATCATGCGTCAGTCCTAATATAGCTGCTGTATGGCAGCATGATCAGTAGACAATGTCATCATCAATCCAGATACGGCTCGCAACCTTAATTGGATTCTGAAATCATGAAGGTGTCTTGCAGCCCGGCCACCATCATTAGATTAGTGAGCTGTTCGGTCCAATTACATAAAAATTTGAAATCTAGCTTACATTACTGACTAATTAGACCACAATAAAGCAGCTCTATGGATTTTGCTATTACTAGATTACAGTTAGAAGCACTGGAACAGTTAGTTACTAATTCATAAGTGTACGCTAGTGTGACGTCTGTAGCAGGTGTATATCCTGTGGTCTATGTCAGTACAGGTATTCTGTCAGTAACGGGACTCGGGGAACGTAAACACAGACAGGTGTACCTATATATAACAGTCTAGTTTTCAGGGACTAGTTAGCTTAACATCAATATTTGCTAAAATTATGATTTCATATATTTGGAAATTATAGCTTTAAAAGGACCATGAAAGTTTCTTAATCTTTTTTGGTAGGATTTTTGTTGTCTCAATTCAAAAAAATAAACAGAATTGTGAAACATTAGTTATTTTAACTTATATTTAATCACGGCCTGGATGCTAGTGCCTGGGGGGGGGGGGTCTAATGTAGGGGGAAACCATTATACTCGGAGANGGAAACCATTATACTCGGAGAAAACCCACAGGTAACCCGTCAATCGTGGAATCAAACCCTGGTTGCCTTGGTGAATATTTCATGCAGAAGGATCATGCCATCATATTTTAAACATACTTTATTTATCCAGCAATTACAGTTTAGTAGAACTACGAGTTATGCATTTGTCTCTCTATAAGCCTGTGTCTGGTAATAAGCCCACCCATTTCTGTAACACTTTCGTATAAAATGCCACCTAATTCTATTTTATTGTCATGTAAAAAGCCCATTCCCTACTTCATTGTATATATGAGTTACAAATTATATGTCAGTCCCTCTTGAGTTTTTTTGGCAGGATCAATGCAATATGTAAAAATGTCCATAAAATAAAACAAACAAAACTAATGTATTGTTTTTCTGATTCCCTTTCTACCCACTAAAACATGTTTGCACTAAAAAACAATTTACCGGTATTAGTTTTTTGGTGTATTAGTACTGTTCGAATATAGTTCAAGCATTAAAGAATAATAAATAAGAAGTAACTTCTCTGTCTACCTTAATATTCGGCTTTTTATATCTGGTTTACATATACTGTAATTCCCTTTTAATCTTAACCAAAATCTGTCATCAAAGATAAAGACGAAACCAGTTAAGGCATACCTATCTGGTGTCAGTGATTACGCTTGTATGTGTCTGGACATGATGTGTACGTCCCGTAATACTGTACACACAGTTTACATGTTTGCCATTTTCGTCCTTCTTTTAAATGAGAGTAAATTTATCATGAGATTGAATATAACTACACAGTCTCCTATATATAATAAGTATATGAGAAGGCAAGATAACACCGAATGAGTTCTGATTTTCTGAGTGAAAGGCAAATAATTGGCTAGGCAAGTGTTTCCCTGGTATATATGCAAGTTCATTCCACTTGGAGTTATAAAATTAGTTACTGCACTCTGAGGTGTTTCCCTCTTTGGTCATGATGTGTTATATGTCTCGTACCAGGAGTTATAATTAGTAGGTCAATGTGACAAATACATCACTATTGGTCTAAGTATTGAGCGTTCACCCAAGTGGGGTAGGAAATGGATTCTGTCCCCTGAGGTCAGGAACAAACCAAAGTCCTTAAATATGGCAGTTCACTCTATGCTTATTGTTCAGCATGAAGGGTTATCGCAACAACTGGTTAACCCCGTTGTCAGTATATATTGTGACCGGGTGGAATGCTGTGCTGGGTGCCTTCAGCATGGTATTTCAGTGAGGTAGCACTCTAAGGTCAGCATCAGATCAGCACTTTTACAGGGCGGCAAATTCATCAACATGTCCTGGCTCAGAACATAAAGGCACAAGCATTCACACAATTTACATACATGGAGGCACGTCATGAAATGACCATGGCTGTTGATGGGTAAAAACTTAACCAAACCTGTATGATTGATACTGTTTGTCTGAGGGGTAAGGTCATAGTGACATATATGACCCCAATCATTGATAAATGTTGGTCTGTATTGCAAATATCAGTTGTTTACCGCAAAATATTATTCAGCCATTGGAAAGATGACTTTTTTTTATCAAAATACTTTCTGTATGAGTGTTTGATCATAATCATACCAATGAACTCTTTGGTAAACACAGGATGTAATAAATCTCACCGCAGAAGCCGACCTAATTGAATTGACTCATGATTTTTTAATTGTTATACCATACATAAATTACTCTTAGAAATCTACATACAAGCTTTGAACTTGTGATCGTGTGTCTGTATCCTAACATGAGCTGTCAATCTATTTTCTAATCTAACTGAAAGGATTGAAGACAGCCGCATGCATTGGTAAGATGTAAAAAGTGTTGGTGTATCTTTTTGTAGCTGGGTGTCATTTAGTTTATTCCTGATCATATTACATCCTATTTAAAATGTTTCTTTTGTTGATTTTAGTTATAGGTTTAGAAAATTGCTTTAGTTTGCATCATATTCCAGTTAAACAATGAAAAAATCATTTTAAGTTAAAAATGTTCCTAACATTTGTTGAAAATGTTCCTAACATTTATTCTTTAAGTTTAAAAAATATTACGATTAAAAATTTTAAAGATTGAAATTATTAAAATTTAAATGTCAACTAATCGAGTGAGTTGATAATTAATTACTTTATCAATTTCTCATGTCTGAGGTTTAATTTGAATAGCATTAAGCTGTTTTCTTTATAATGCAATGGAACGATTTATAGATTGAATATTTGAAGAAAAAGTCGTAAAAATAATTATTCAAATTGGGGATTGTTTTTTTTTTTAATTGTTAGTTCCTTTAGATATGGGCCAATTATATGTCAATCCTGTGTTTAGTAATTTCATGTAGTTTATATTTAGGCTAATGTCACTCCAACCCACTGTCACTGTTAAGACTTTGTTTCCTCTAATTTCTATCTCACGGAATTGCATCAAAATTACATATGATGCACATTACTGTCAAAAACGTCACTGTCACTTCACATGAAACACAATTTCATGTACATTCATGTACTCAATTTCATGTACTCAATTTCATGTACATTAATGTACTCAATTTCATGTACTCAATTTCATGTACTCAATTTCATGTACTCAATTTCATGTACTCGATTTCATGTACATTTCATGTACTCAATTTCATGTACTCGATTTCATGTACATTTCATGTACTCAATTTCATGTACTCAATTTCATGTACATTCATGTACTCAATTTCATGTACATTTCATGTACTCAATTTCATTTACTTGTAATCTATTTTTCACTACCTTTTCCCAAAATAAACATATGGTGTTTGTGAAGTTTATTTTATTGTGATATCCCATTTTATCCTGTAGATTTTATTTAGTTTTTTAGAAGTGTTGTATATATTCAATTCCAGTGATGTGTTTTTATTGGAAGAAATGAAGAAAATTACATTGAAACTTGTTGATTTGTTTTTGCAAATAATACTGACAATTTTTTAATTAAGGCAAATTGAACATTATTTGCATTTAATATTTAACCATTTAGCTACTTCCCGCTCACGATCATGTTTTTGTAATCCAGAATGTTTACCCATTATAGTACCTCATGTACATATCATTGACAAATTATTCTGTTTGTAGCCAAGTAAATTCATGTAGGGTTGAGTTACACTCCACCAATTTTTGAAATTAATTGCAAATTTAAATAAGTTAAGTTGCAAAATTTAATATCAGATCTAAAATTGATTGATATCCTTATGACACAAGGCTAGTAATTACTCTAGGAATGGTTCTGTTCTGTCAGTATTACAAAATAACATCTCATTCTGTTGATACAATTTTTAGGTCACCTGAGCTTTAACTTGTCGTGCGTGGTCCATTAACATTTTACATTTTAAACTTAAGCTGAAATACTGGGGAAGGGATTTCATTGATACTTCATGGGAAGGTTACTGACATCTCCCTGACAAAGTTTTGTTATTTTTCGGGTCTATCAGAAATCCAATATGGCCACCACAGCCGCCATTCTGAAAAACTATTTCAAACTTAAAGTCAAGTTCTGCTAGGCCGATTGAACTGAAACTTTGTAGAATGATCGACTCATGGTCCTGACAAAGTTTTGTTAAATTTCGGGTCGATCAGAAATACAATTTGGCTGCCATGGCTGCTATTTTGAAAATACATATTTCAAACTTAAAGTCAAGTTCTGCTAGGCCGATTGAACTGAAACTTTGTAGGAAAGATCGACTCATGGTCCTGACAAAGTTTTGTTAAATTTCTGGTCGATCAGAAATACAATTTGGCTGCCATGGCTGCTATTTTGAAAATACATATTTCAAACTTAAAGTCAAGTTCTTTTAGGTCGATCTATAGCTAACTGAAAATCAGTCTAGGAATTATCAGCTCATGGTCCTGACAAACTTAAGTTAACGTTATACTTAACAATTTTTTACTCAAATTGGTACATATTTCAACAACAAAAATAAATACTGTATGACTCAGGTGACCGTTAAGGCCCATGGGCCTCTTGTTAATCTGAATTTTTTGTCTGAAAATTAATTATGTTCTGTGAGAATCACAGACACAGGAGAGAGTGCTCAAGCAATGGCTATTTTGCGAAATAAATGTCTACATTCCCAGGAATGCACAACAGGATATTTTTACGGTTCTTTCAGTCATATTAGTAATAACTAATCCATTTTAAACTGAAGCAACAAAAGTCAAGAAGTCATTTAGGGTCACCAATACCACGGCCAAAAGGTGTATTCATGCCTTGGAAAAATCCTTCTTTGGCAAATCTGTTCAGCTTTGGTAAACCATTTAAAACACTACCTTGTAGAATTATTAAAAATTTAGAAAGATGAAATATTAAAAAAAAAATAACAACAGCTGTTCATAGTGTAAAATTGCCAGGGGCCAGCAGACCTGGTTTTGAACCCTTGACCAGTCTTATCATTATACTGACATTCTAAAAAACTGAGCGAAGCGTCACACTCACATTTGTATCAAGAAATTAATTAAAGGGAGATTACTCTATGTAGAAAAAAATACAGTTTTCTAGCGTTTTTTTATCAGTGGAACATGGAGCCTTAAACATTCACCCACCATTTTTAGGAGTGTGTTAAACAGTATTATGGCAAAGGTGTCACCCAGCTGGCAATCAACCTCGTGCTGGTTCAATTTCTATAATATCATCAGGAAATTCAGTCTTCTGAATTATATATAAAGAAAAAAAAAAGATAATTGATCTAAATGTAGCAAGTTGAGCTTGAATTCAGCTTCACTGAAGATAATGGACAAAAACGATAATTGATCTTTAATGATATGAATGCACTAGACCATATATGTAGGAATATCCCATAAACTGTTGAAACGCTGGTTCATTGTTTGATATATTTATAGGTGTGATATTTTTATTGTCGTCAGTCGGCGGTACATATATGTGTACATGTTCAGTCTTTTGAAAACTGAAAATGAGGTGTACGTCACAAGGGGATTCAGTGTACGTAGCATATGGTATTTCAATTTGAGAAGAATTTTAAGTTTTCAAAGAACCTGTCATGGTTTTAACAGAGTTATCATCCTGATATATGTACCCACAACCAGAGAAAGAAAAATATGCAAAAATCATGTATTAAGTTATTGGTAATTACCATCCCCTTTTTAAATGCCAAGAAATTAAGTCTCACATTTCTATCTTATGATTGATTGATGAAATGATTTCCTTCCCTTTGACAAAAAGAAAAACATGATACTGCTTCGCTAAAAGCATTGAAAAAACAGCTCCAAATATACAAGAATGTTCATTTAACGTCGCATATACCTTAAACATACAAACATTAGCTCGGTGGAGCTATTTCTGCGACAAACCGAGGAAATTGCATTTTTGTTGGGAGACTTGTATTGTATTGCCAGAATCTGAATAATTAATTTGCTTTTATCCTGAATAATAGTCATAAATCTAAACTTCTTTATGTAATTGACATGGATCTAATTCTCTCCAAAGAGAAGAAAATCCGTTATTGATGCTTATTTACATATTTTCAACAAGCTATGATATCACAACGAGTTAATTAAGGCCAGACTCTATAGAGGGAGACTCTCTACAAATATTATAATGGACACATCACATGTCTTGCCCTTTGCATGTCCTGGGCCATGCATCCTTAAAAATTGTTTGTTTGCAGTTTTCCTACTGACATTTTTGTAGTGGTTTAGTAGTTAGGGATTATTTTTTCTATTTTAGAAATCTCATATTTCTTTATACAAGTCCTAAATGTAAGTGATTTTTCGTCCCTAATTTGTTTTTACCGAAAGTCCAAAAAAGAGTCCATTGCTATTTTTAGCTTACCTCCCCTGGGAGCAGAGATGAAGGGTCCATAGGGAGAACATAGGGAAAATGTATAAAATCCTCCTTCTGCATGAATATGGAGGGATTTGAATTAAATTTGGTGTAGTGCATCCATTGGCAAAAGAGACTTGATTTGGTATAAACGGAAGGTATTGCCCCACTGGGGGAAAAAGGGAGGATCCCAATAGGGAAAATTGAGGTAAATCTTTAAAATTCTTCTCCCTCTGTAGGAATGGAGGGATTTTAACCAAACTTTATCTAGAACATCCTTGGGCAAGGGACTAATTCACTTTTGTTTAAATGGAGGGTGTGTATAAAAATGTTTTCCTTCGATATAAATGGAACGATTGTTTATCTTTTCAGGCTTCAGTCAGTTAAGTTATTTTGCTCCCAGTTTTATGATTTAAAATCACTGTATATATAACAATATTTATTTCCCTATGTACTGTTTACAATTACATGCATTATGTACACTTGTTTACTTTCAGGCCTCACACGAAGGATGATCTGAGGGCTTACCTAATTATCTTACAGGTAAGAATTAATGTTTACAGGTAAGAATTAATGTTGACAGGTAAGAACTAATGTGAACTTAATCATACAAAATCTTACCCTGGTTTTAGAAACATTCCTGTCAAATTAACTCATTCACCCCAGAAGACACATTTGAACTCTTCCAATTCAATGATTGGAATAGTTCAATATGAAATTCAGGGGTGAATGAATTAACTACGGAGATCCTTAAACTGACTTTATTTTTAAATTTTGAGAGACTTCTTACCTTAAATAGAAATGTCTTTCGTGAAGCTTCCTTATAAAGTAAAGATTTTCATTAATCATTTAAGACTGGAATAACCATGACTAAACATTTACTAAAGACTTCTTTAAGTAATCGCATACCAGTGTTTCGCCTTTGCCGGACAGGGATTCTTAATGAAAAAAAAAATGGTGATTGTTCACAGCAACAGCCTCTGATGTTGTACCTTGATGCTAAATTCCCAAAAGCATGCTTAACCTTGAGACACTTGGGAGACCTGAACTTTTTATAGGTTTAACTCATTCACCCCTTAAGACACATTTGAACTCTTCCAATTCAAAGGTTGGAATGGTTCATTATTAAATTTCAGGGGTGAATGGGTTAATATCACAAGGTTTTAATGTCATGCAGGCATTTTATTTAAAAGTGACTGCAGAGCTTTCTTCCATTAATTAATGAACAATAATTGAATATTATATAATTCATTGAATTTTGAATCATGTCCGTGGGTTGTTTGTTCATTTTATACACAGATATTTATAGAAATTCACTGAAATTAAAAGTCTTTTTCTATTTTCAGAATCCCCAGTTTGAGAACATGTCAACTTTTGTGATATTTGCCCACCTACTTCGACAGATTGCTGCGCTCAACGATCATGATCACCATTTTTTGGTGCATTGGATGAGGAAGTAAGTGTATTCGTCTCTTGCTCTGCTGTCTGAAACATTTAATTTTGTGATGAGAGAGCTAGAGAGAAGTGCTATATACATTTTTGTAGGTACAAATGTGGCAAGAGCTGGATGGTTTCTCACTGCAAGGGGCATAACTCTTACATTTTGATTCAGATTGGTAAAAAGATATTTTCTGAATATCATATATGTTGCGTCGTCAAAGAGATCAATTTTTTTTCTGTATTTTTCAGACTTTGATTTGCTGGCCCATTTTGATTAAAGTAAAGAATAATAAAGTGTTTAAAATATTCTTCTTATTTTGTTTATTTTTCACAAATACATCTCTGTCCCTGGAAATATTTCAATCTGCATAAAATATCTTAATTATAAGCAAAGAGCTTATCCACTTAAACACAATTACTGTTATGTTATTTTTTTTCTTTCTCAAAATGTTGAAACTCCCTGTAAATATCCACAACATGTTATTGTCTTTGTATGACCATTAAAGTGGGGGGGGG